ATCAGTATTTTTAAAAATATTTCTACCTCAGGCAATGCTGAAGATAAATCTCAGATCATATGAGCTGGTGATTACACTAACTACTCTATAGTAGTTCTTAGGTATCTCCAACAGAACCCTGATACCCAAACCTGGCAAGGATAACACACACACACACACACACACACACACCCCAAACTAACAAACAAACAAACAAACAAACAAACAAAAAACCAACACGACAGACCAATATTATCAGAAGAAGCGGATAGTTTTTTGCAGGAGATTGGATAGGCCGTGCATACCATTGATTCTAAACTTGAGTCACTATTACTTTCAATACCTGTTCCACATTTCTCAGTCTATATTCTCTTTAATGTAATTTTATGTCTTTAACTAGATCATTCTTGTGACATATTTCCTATTTTTTAAAAACATATTTCTCATTTGATTGCAAATACTAAATAATTCTGAAGTCTTTTGCTTTTTATTTCTTTGCTTTGAACTTAAGAGCCACTTTAATGAGAAATGAGAGAAACTGATCAGTTTATCACTCAAATTAATTCAAGGTTTCTTTAAAATATCCAATGTGCCCGGCTGACGTGGCTCAGTGGTTGACCATCACCCTATCAACCAGGAGGTCTCTGTTCAATTCCCTATCAGGGCACATGCCCCAGGTTGCAGGCTCGATCCCCAGTAGAGGGCGTGCAGGAGGCATCTGATCAATGATTCTCTCTCATCACTGATGTTTCTCTCTCTCTCTCCCTCTCCCTTTCCTCTCTGTAAAGAATCGATAAAATATATATTTTTAAAAAATATATATTTTTATTGATTTCAGAAAGGAAGGGAGAGGGAGAGAGAGAGAGAAACATCAGTGATGAGAGAGAATCATTGATCAGCTGCCTCCTGCATGCCCCCCACTGGGGATGGAGCCCGAAACCCAGGCATGTGCCCTTGACTGGAATGGAACCCGGGACCCTTCAGTCCCCAGGCTGAAGCTCTATCCACTGAGCCACACCGGCCAGGGCTGGGGCAACATTTTCTACTGACCTTGAGCAAAACAACTCATAAGGAAAAGAGGTGGGTTTTTTTTTTTTTTTTTGCCCTTTTCTTTTTTTAAATCATAAGGGAAATGTCACAAGCTTTCTCCCCAGGGCGAACTGCTCCACCCAGTGGCTCAGAGCCCTGTCCTGGTGCCGTCATGCTAAAAAACACGCACAGCTGTGGCCGGTCACGTGCTCCGCCGGGAGGGGTCGCCTGTTCATTCATTCTGCCAGCTGCCAAACGCAGGGGCCGACGTGCTGGGAGTCCCAGGTAGACAGAAAAAAAAAGTCACTTCGTGATTTGGAGAAATTGCTGGGATTGTACACAACATTCCAGGGCTGCTCACTTTTGCCCAACGAGGAGATTCATCTTAGAACCCACTGGTGGGAAAACATCTGGATTGACTGCATTTTTACCATTTCGGCATTTGGAACTTGATTCGGTTCAACTCTCCGAGAATCTATACTAATAAAAGGGTAATATGCTAATTAGACCGGGTCACCCGGCCATCTTCCAGACATCCGACTTCCTTCCGGACAAAGCCGTGGTGGTGGGGGCCGAAGCAGAGGCCATTGGGGGTGAGATCAGGCTGGCAGGGGAGGGCAGTTGGGGGCGAACTGGCCTGCAAGGGAGGGCAGTTGGGGACGACCAGGCTGGCAGGGGAGGGCCGTTGGGGGCGACCAGGCCTGCAAGGGAGGGCAGTTGGGGGCGAAGCAGGCAAGCAGGTGAGTGGTTAGGAGCCAGTGGTCCTGGATTGCCAGAGGGATGTCTGCACAGGGATCGGGCCTAAACCAGCAGTCGGACATCCCCTGAGGGGTCCCAGATTGGAGAGGGTGCAGGCTGGGCTGAGGGACACCCCCCCATGCACGAATGTCATGCACCGGGCCTCTAGTTTATTTAATAAGGGCCTACTAACAACCAAGACCCAGCTGAGGCCCGGATGGAAAGGTGACTACAAGGTCCCTGCCCTGAAGAGCTTGCAGACTAGCGGAGGAGATAAGCAATACCCAGATCACAGGCGGCCAGGACCTGAAGGTAATATGGTGATAACTAGAGGCCCGGTGCACGACATTTGTGCACTGGGGGTGGGGGGTGGGAGGGGGTTCCCACAGCCCAGCCTGAGCCCTTTAGCTGCCCAGGAGCCCTCGGGGGATGTCCGACTGATGGCTTAGGAGCCCGGCTTCTGGCTGAGCGGCGCTCCCCATTTGGGAGCTCACTGACCACCAGGGGGCAGCTCCTGCGTGAAGCGTCTGCCCCCTAGTGGTCAGTGCGCATTATAGCAACCTGTCATTCTGCCATTTGGTCGATTTGCATATTAGCCTTTTATTAGATAGGATAATATCCCTGTTTTAAGGAAACCCTAACCAGTGGTATTTTATATCTGCTGTATTTTAAAATGCAAAGAGGCATATAAACTCACGGATGCCTCCAAAATATTGATTGATACTGTTCTCTTCAGCAAGATAGAAAAAAAAAGTCTAATTTCAGCCCTGGCCGGTGTGGCTCAGTGGATAGAGCGTCAGCCTGTGGACTGAAGGGTCCTGGGTTTGATTCTGGCCAAGGGCACCTGCCTGGGTTGTGAGCTTGATCCCCAGGGTGGGGCATGCAGGGGGCAACCAATCAATGATTCTCTCCCATCATTGATGTTTCTATCCTTTCCCTCTCCCTTCCTCTCTGAAATCAATCTATCTATCTATCTATCTATCTATCATCTATCTATCTATCTATCTATCTATCTATCTATCTATCATCTATCATCTATCTATCTATCTATGTATTTTAAAAATGCTATAGCAACCACCCTCAGATCTCAGCGGCTTAACACTGAATTTACCTTTCACTCACGTGTCAAGTCCAACGCAGGTCAAAAGGTCTGCTCCACATCACGCAGGCTTGCGGACGCTCCACACGGTTCAGCAGAAGCATCCAGAACACAGGGCCTGGGGGAGAAACAGAAGGGGGGGGGGGGACTGAGAATCCCAGGCCGCCCATCGCCTCATCTCACCTGATCTCTTGGGTCAGAACGGGTCACGTGACCCTGCCGAGTGGCCAGCGGACTGGACGGTGAGCTGCCTTATCTCTGCGGTAGGTCCTATACTCCACGCGCTCACTGTCGCGATGGTGAGACCGGGGCTCCTCGCTGGTGTGACGCTTGCGAGTCTGTTGCCCTCTCTGAACTCGATCCCCAGAAGGGGTAGAGCCCTGGTATTTCTTACGTGCCTAGTCCAGTGCCTGGCACATGGCAGCTGCCCAGTCTGTGGCGTGAACGGCCGGTGGCAGAAAGTAAAGGAAGGCTCAGTCCGGGAGTTGCTCTGAGAAATGAAGCAGGGAGGACCGGGAAAGCAATGCTATCAAATTCTTAACAATATCTTTTGATTGATTTCAGAGAGGAAGGGGGAGGGAGAGAAACATCCATGATGAGAGAGAATCATGGATCGGCCGCCTCCTGCACGCCCTCACCGGGGATCGAGCCCGCAACCCGGGCATGTGCCCTGAGCGGGGAATCGAACCGTGACCTCCTGGTTCCTAGGTCGACACTGAGCTACACGGCCATTAAAATGTTGAGCCCTAACTGGTGTGGCTCAGTGGATAGAGCATCGGCCTGTGGACTGAAGGGTCCCAGGTTCCATTCCGGTCAAGGGCACGTGCCTGCGTGCGGGCTTGGTCCCCAGTGGGGGACGTGCAGGA